GTTATCTTTTTAGAGATTACTGTGGGATGAAGAGTGGATAATGATAATGCTATGAGACAGATGTTACTAGGCTATCATTGAAATGTGGAATGGATGCTGATTAATGGTAAACAAAAAAAAAACAATTAAAAACTTGAACAGTAAGTATACTGTGAATTCACATGTTTACAATCAGATACCAACAAAGCGTTGAATTGAATCTGCTTTTTTTATCCGACACTTGCAAGTGACCTCCTCACTGTTCTTCCCCAATGCGGCAAAGTCAAGTCAACGCGTTTCAACACTCCAAATTCCACTACACACACACGAACCCATTTTCATGGCGTAAGTAATATCACCTCAAAATCAGAATGTTTGTGGAGCAGGTAGCACAGCATTTCGTGGGCCCTCATCTCATCTTACCCAACAATTTTGCATATAAAAAGGGTATTCGTTGTACTCTGAAAATGATCGATCTTAGTTTCCTTTTTTCAAGAAAAGTTCGATTTTTTATGATGAGTAATACACTTCCCTTTGCCTGTTTTGGCATCTCCAGTCTAAAATCTTTGGGTAAAAAGTACAAAATTTGACCAGTTTTTGTGTTTTCAAGGGGTAATTCCGGTAAACTTGTGAAAAAAAAAATTCAAATTTTATGAAGTACCCATCTTCTCTTTTTTTGATGTTTTTGTTGGGAAAATAAGTTCATAATCCACACCATTTTGGTACGATGTATTAATAACACAGACACATCTGTGTGTGAAAACGCCATTTCAAGTATATATCTGATTTTTTTTCTTTTTTTTTTAAATTATGTGGTGAGCCCGTTTCTTTTTCCTTTTTATGTTTTATTGAATCTTTTAAGGGGAAAATCCAAAACCCACATGATTTTGGTACAATTATATGTACATATATAAGGGTATTTATGGTATGATTTGCAAAAAGTTTCAAATTTTACAATGAACCCATTTCGTTTTTGATTTTTTTTATTCAATCTTTAAGGAAAAAAGATCCCATAAATCCACATCATTTTCTGCAAGCATATGCATACATATCTGTTTTTGTAGGAGCGTGTTCTTTCTGTGTCAAAAGGGTATTTCTGGTAAAATTATTTCATAAAAGTTTAAATATGGTGAACCATTTCCTTTTCAACTGTTCTTCCAGAAAACAAAAGGGTATTTCTGCAAGCATATGAATCTTCCAGGAAACAAAAATCCAAAAAAAAATCCACATCCTTCTGATACAAAATACAGAAAATATCTATTCTTTCTCTTTGCGAAGGGTATTTTAGTAATTCACCAAACGAGTTTCAAATTTCTAAGAACCCATTTCCTTTTTTC